CTTCCCGTGTCTACCCAAAATATATTCGTATGATAAACAAAAGAAGAAAAAAACAATTGTATTCTACATATTATCTATATATACTATATAATTAATATATCTGTATGGCCTAAGTAAGTGAAAAAAAAAATATATAAAAATTAGTAATATTAATAATACAAAGTACTTTCATTTCTTTCTTGTTATTATATACATAATACTTATATATATATATTATAAATAAATGAATGTTGTTGATAAATACTTGTTGATAATGGTGCGTCATTTCCATGTTGTTTCTTAGTTACGTTACGTGATCGAGTCTTCATTATTTCAATCTTTTGTTTTTCAACCATTCGTCATCATTATTTTTGTTCGTTTATTTCGTTAAAAACCATCAGATTGGGGTCACAATTATTACGTGCGTGTGTGAATGTGTGTATTTTCCCTTCATTAGTCTTAGATGTAAATTGCATTTTAAAATAAATAAAATTAGAAAATATGAATGAAATAAACGCAATTATTTCCCTTTTCTTAAAAAACAAACAAAATCATGAATGGCGGTGAAAAAGATGGCCGTCGACGAGAACAGCTGATAAAGAAAAACAAGATGGTCGCTGCTGAATGTAAACAACAACAGCTTTGACATGGCGGATAACAATATGGCTGTCAACAACAACAGCTGACTAAAAGTAAACAACAATAGTGAAAACAAAATCATGAATGGCGGAAAACAAGATGGTCGCTGCTGAAATTAGACAACAACAGTTTCAACATGGCGGAAAACAATATGGCCGTCAACAACAACAGCTAACTAAAAGTAAACAACAACAGTGAAAAACAAAATCATGCATGGCGGAAAACAAGATGGTCGCTGTTGAAAGTAGACAACAACAGCTTTAACATGGTGAAAAACAATATGGCCGTCAACAACAACAGCTGACTAAAAGTAAACAAGAATAGTGAAAAACAAAATCTGAATGACGGGAAACAAGATGGTCGCTGTTGAAAGTAGACAACAACAGCTTTAACATGGCGGATAACAATATGGCTGTCAATAACAACAGCTGACTAAAAGTAAACAACAATCATGAATGGCGGAAAACAAGATGGTCGCTGCTGAAAGTAGACAACAACAGCTTTAACATGGCGGATAATATGGCTGTCAACAACAACAGCTGACTAAAAGTAAACAACAATAGTGAAAAACAAAATCTTGCATGGCGGAAAACAAGATGGTCGCTGCTGAAATTAGACAACAACAGTTTCAACATGGCGGAAAACAATATGGCCGTCAACAACAACAGCTGACTAAAAGTAAACAACAACAGTGAAAACAAAATCATGAATGGCGGAAAACAAGATGGTTGCTACTGAAAAGTGGACAACGACAGCTAAAATCATTAAATCCACGTCTGTTTCTTGATTTGAAAGAAAGAAAATTTTTAAGAAATTATAATTTGTAAACTAAATAAACTAAAATTTTCAATTTTAATATAAAATATTGATGTGTTAATAAGCCAGGAGTTTCATCGATCGTCAAGCACTCACGCTCATCCAAATTAATTCTCGATTAGCATCGAAGAATAAAAAGAAAAACAAGCTATTAAACTAATTCGAGTAAATAAATTTATCGTGCCCTGTTTGTGTGTTCGTTGAAAAAGTACACTATTTCATTTAGTCTGAAATAAAAAATGTCTTCGGCTGAAACTTTCCTATCCTCAATTTTTCCTCTACTAGTATCACTGAACGTGATAGGCGTATCGGATTACACTAGAGACTCAACGAAAACACGTTTGAAACGCAGCAAACTTTTGACGATCTACATGAGAATCAAGTCGTCTTTAGTGTGCGTATTGGTGATTTGCGGCAGCTTTTACGGACAGATTTTCAAAGCTGAAACCGTGATGGAATTGTTGATTTATAACGTGATGAATTACGGAAATCTCTTCTACGTCTTCACCGTCTACATACTGATTACGTGGAACTTCAAGAAGATTGTACCGTTCTTCGATGATTTCGTGAAAATCGACACAGAACTTGAATGGTTGTTGATGAAACCGGTCGATTACAAAACTACTATAAAATCGATTTACTTATACTTTGCTGTTTCTTACGCAATGACTTTTGTAGTGTTGATCGTTCACGTGGTTATTGGTACAGGTTTGTGGGATTTCATCGCTTACTTAATTGGAATTTTGGTGGGAATTTCGATGGAATCTACTCTGTTTAGTATATTGAGAGAGCTGCGCCGAAGATACGAACTCATCAACGAGTGTTTAATCAACTTAAGCAGTAAGCAATTCGAAGATGCTTTCGATCGTTTGAAGAGACTCAAACTCGTGTACTTGAAGTTGCTTCAGTTCAGGAAAATCCTTGGCGATTTCGCTTTACAATTTCTAATCAAATTCTGCATGTCCTATCTACTTTTCTTGTCTGGTTTGTATAATTTCTACGTTTTGGGTTTCAATAATTGGTTCAGTCATTTGGTCATTCTGCTTTGGAGTTCTAAAGAGATTCTGGGTGCTATTTACTACTTCGATTCTGTTACGCAAGAAGTGAGTTTTTTTCATCGAGAAAAATCTTGTTTTACGCAATTTATTTTAGGTTTTGAAGACCAGAGTTTTGTACGAAGCTGCAATGAAGACTTACGATTTAAATTATCGTAGAGTGAGTAAGTGGACGTTGTTTCTTAATTTATAAATACATTTTGTTTTTTTTTTCAGAGAGGATTGTTTCATCTTCAGGTGCAATTCGAGAACAATTGCTTTTGGATTTGCGGATTGTTTCCAATGAAATGGAGTTTAGCGTTAAGTGTACGTTTGTCGAAAGTTGTGTAACTTTTTGATTTTTTCTTGCTTTTCCCCAGATGATTGGAAGCATAGTGAGCAATTTGGTGATACTCATTCAATTCAAGAAGATGACCAATCATTAATTCGTTTTCAACTGTTTAATTTATATATTTTATACTAATTGTAAGTTTAATGGCGGATAAAAATATGGCCGTAACGTAAACAATTGTAAACAACAATATGGCCGTCAACAACAACAGCTGATAACAAAAATAAGATGGTTGCTAATAACAACAATGAAAACAAAATCTTAAATGGCGGAAAACAAGATGGCTGTCAACAACAATAGCAGTAACAAAAGAAAAACAAGATGGTTGCTACTGAAAAGTGGACAACAACAGCTAAAATCTTTTTCTCTCTGTTTCTGTAAATTGGTAAAAATATTTAAAAAAAAATATCTAACAACTAAAATATTGATGTGTTAATAAGCTACGAGTATCATCGATCGTCAAAAGCACTCACTCTCGTCCAAAATTAATTCTAGATTAGCATCGAAGAATAGAAAAAAAAAGCTATTAAACTAATTCGTGACGAACAAAGAAACAAAAGTTGCATTTCATTTAGTTTGAAATAAAAAAAAATGTCTTCGGCCGAAGCTTTTCTATCCTCATATTCGAATTACACTATAGACTATGTCGAAAGTTATTTTATCATTGAAAATGTATTTCATTTCTTGCTCTTTTTTCAGATGTTTGGAAGCATAGTGAGCAATTTTGTGATAATCATTAATTCGTTTTCAACTATTTAATCTATATATTTTGTACTAATTGTAAGTTTAATGGCGGATAAAAAGATGGCCGTAACGTAAACAATTGTAAACAACAATATGGCCGTCAACAACAACAGCTGATAAAAAAAATAAAATTGTTGCTAATAACTATAATGAAAACAAAATGTTAAATGGCGGAACAAAAGAAGCAGTAACAAAAGAAAAACAAGATGGTTGCTACCGAAAAGTGGACAACGACAGCTAAAATCTCTTTCTCTCTGTTTCTGTAAATTGGTAAAAATATTTAAAAAAAATAACTAAAATATTGATGTGTTAATAAGCTATGAGTTTCATCGATCGTCAAAAGCACTCACTCTCATCCAAAATTAATTCTCGATTAGCATCGAAGAATAGAACAAAAAACGCTATTAAACTAATTCGAGCAAATAAGTTTGTCGTGCGTGGCGAAAAAACAGACAAAAGTTGCATTTCATTTAGTTTGAAATTTAAAAAAAATGTCTTCGGCCGAAGCTTTCCTATCCTCAATTTCAGATTACACTATAGACTATGTCGAAAGTTATTTTATCATTGAAAATGTATTTCTTTTCTTGCTCTTTCCAAATGTTGCAATTTTGTGATACTGATTCAATTCAAGAAGATGTCCAATCATCTATGATTACATAAGAATCAGTTGTCAATTGCGTAACTATGGTTGTAAACAAGATATCTCGATTATTACAATTAATTTTCACGTCTTTGCATAAGACTTAATTACTCGACAACCACGGACGTTAATTGAATAGTTTAATGTGCTAATCGAACATGAAATTATAGTCTTTTCAATTATCCAACTATCTGTTATTTGTGGTCGACTATAATTACGTAATAAGCTGTTAAAAGTATGTACTTATCGGTTGTATATCAAGTTGCCTATCTAAATGTTAATTTGTGTGAATAAGTGTACAGTTGGTTGCATACAACTGCACTGAAATAGTTTCAGTCTGAAAGTTGTTTCAGGATGAGAAGAGAATGTTATTGTTGTAAGGATATGAAAGAAAAAAGAGTATGCAAGGATTTTGATGTTTCAAAGTATTAGAATCAATTATAATAAAGAAATTCCGTATCTATTTTTCCGTTTGATTCGATTTGTCGATACTTTCACAAAATAGATTAATTTGTATATATGAAACATTTGTACATTATACAAGAATTGTATATATATATATATATAGAGAAGGGTGTGTCTGAATGTCGTAAAATAAAATTAATTGATTGCTCGTGGACGCTCGTTCATTTCCGCTTAAAATGATCGTTATTTATTTCGATCCGCAGCGGACTCTTGTGATCTCCGGGTTTGAACTGCAGACTCACGTTGTTCTTGAACCCGGGCCTCTCGAAGATCCCTTTCCTCGGCGCTCCCTCATCACCGCCACCTGCAGCGACAACAGATGCAGGAACGTTCTCCTCCTCCAGCGTCGCCATCGGCTCGTCCACGGACTCCTCGTTCGTGTCCTCGCTGTAGAACGTGCTCGAAGAAGAGCTGCTGGACGCGCTACTACTGGAATCCCTACGCACGCGCAGCTTACCCTCGGACACCGTCTTCAGCCGCTCCTTCTCGTTGATCCTCGACCAAACAGTGGAAGCCACAGCCGGAGCCTTCTGCTTCTTAATAACAACAGCGACTTTACTGCCGGTCTTCTGATCGTCGTAATCCTCTTCGTATTCGGAGACGTGATCTGAAGCTCTTCCTCGACGTTTCGGTGATTTGGGTCTGGTGTAGAGGCGAGATTTCAACGAGCTGCGCTCTTCCAACCGTCCCCTAACGTCCGAATGCTGCTGAGGTATCCGGCTCTTGCGATTCTTCAACTTCGTACCAAGATCAATCTGCTCCTCGACTGGAAGCTGCTGCTGCGGCGGCGGTGGTTTCTTCTTCGTGATACCCAGTATACTTCGCAGATCCGTCTTCTGCTCCGTGTTCACCTTCTTCAACGCGTTCAACTGCTGCCGCCTCTTGATCCTCTCCTCCTCTTCATCCGCATACATCCTCATCCTAGGCACTTTCGACTTCTTCTCCTGCACCTCCTCCTCGTCCTTATCCTCCTCCTGCACCGCGGCCCTCTTATAACCCAACCTGTTCTGCAGCGCAACACTCTTCACCTTCACCTCCTCCTGCACGGGCGGCTTGTAATCCTGCTCCGCGTATTTTATATCCTCGTACCAATTCCTCGCCAAACTCCCCCACGGATTCTTGTTATCCTCCTCACCATCACCACCGCCACTCTCCTGATTCCTATCGAAGATCCCTTTAAACATCGCCTTCTTCGGCACCCTCGCCACCTTCTTACTCTTATTATAATAATTAACGAACTTCTCAGCTCGCACAGGTTTCGCATCCGATTTCACCGAGAACCTCATCAAAATACACTTGGACTTATGATGCGGCACCCCCAACCTCCAGAAGCCAGCAGGCAACGGATCAGCAATCTGACTTATATGCACGTCACTCCCGTTCTCCTTCTCCGCCTGAATCATCACCTCGCGATTCTTACTCTTCAGAAGCACGCTACGCCCTTCGTCCTCATCTTTACTCGAATCCTTCTCCTCCATGATCCCTTGGATCGCCTTCGACAAGTAAAACAGAGCTCTAGCAGCAGACACCTTATCCGTCCACACCACATTGCAGTTATCTTCCGTGATCCACTCAATTGTAGATGGTGCGTACTTCCCGAAATACTCCAGAACATCCTCAGTGCTCATATCCTCCACCCCATGTATATGCAACGATTCAAACTTGACGTCTCCCTCGTTACCCGCATTGATATCCAAACTGTTGTGAAGCTCCTGCAGATGCTCCTCCGTGAAATTGTTGATCTCCTTTGGGTCCAGAGCGAACCTTTTCGCCCTCCCCGACCTCTTCTCCTGCTCAGCCTTATCGAATATATCGATGCCAGTTGAAAATCCAGAGTCCTGCAACAACGTTACCGTTATTCAATTATCCGTTGCTATAGTGATACTCTCTATATTGTTATTATTATACTCACGGGAATCACCATCTTCGCGTTGGGTCTCGTCAGGAAGGTTATGTCCTGGTTGACGTCCTCCAGCTCGTTGGAATCGCTGATCTCGCCCTCCTCACCTTCGCTCGCCCTCTCTTCGTCCACTTCCATCGAATTCACGAGATTGTTGTGGATCTCCACGCGAATGTTGGGACGCGAACCGCCGACGTCCTCCTCCATCTTAACAAGTATTAAACAAACTGAACTCAGCTACAATCAAGCGACCAACTAACAAACAAAAAAAAAAAACATATTTACACACATTGACCAGCAAAACAAAAAATTATATCAGTTTGACCAATGCACAAACAACAAAAGTTTCATTTAATTTCAATGAATTGCAATTTACACCTTTGATATCAACGCTTCAACAATTCCAATTCATAAACTATTCAAAACTTAAGTGTTTGCTTTAATATTACTCATTTCAATCAAAGTTTCAATGACTTATTGTGTATGTTTCTAAAGTTGGCAGCACATACAAACATTTCTTCAGTTGTTCAATTGGATCGGTTGCTGCTGCTGCTGCTGTCAGTTCGCGGTGCAGTTTTCTTAGGTTATGTTTTTATAGCCGATCGAATTTGAATCCTGGATATCGTCGAGAATTGCTTGAACACACGATGTACAACTCGCAGGCGGAATCGGAAACGATCCTGGTGAGTCTCATTAACGTTTAAAAAGAAATTTCACTAAAACTTTTACGTTTCATTTGCAAGCATCGTATGTCCACTGCGTTAACGCTGAAGGTGGACCAGAGATGCGCCGATCTGACGGTGCTCTTCGAGAGAGGCACCAAAAAGGAGTTGGCCACCTTCTTCCCAATGCTGATCGACAACATCTTCGGACCGCAGGGAACGTTCAGCTGGAGCCTGCGAACGCAGCTGCCGCAGAACAACCCCAACGAGTTCAAAGTCCTGTTGAACTTCCTCAAACCCATGGGACCGGTTTTCAAGTTGATCTATCTGCTGCTGCAAGAGCCCAACATCAAGTACGAATTCAGCTTGATGTATTTACCCGTAAGATTAATTTTTCCTTTAACTAATTACACGAATAATGTCAATTGATTTTTTTGTAGACAAAAGTTAAGATGATGCTCGACAGCTCAAACATACATCCCTTTTACCAGGAGATCCTTCAATACAACAATCAGACCAAACAGATAACCTCACTTCTATTAAGTAAGTCTTTTGTTATGATCAAGTTTTATTTAATTTGACAATGAATTTGCAATTGTTTCTGATTTTGACAGTTTATTTTGTTTTGTTTTCAGATCCATTCGATTATTACATGTTCCATTTCGCGTACCACTTGATCAATCCGTGCCAGCAGAGGACGACGTGCGACGACCAATGGGATTCCGTTTATTACAACTTGAGCGTTGAGTATCTTTCGCATTTCTTCCCCATCGATTTGAATCAGCAGATCACGCCGTCAGTCGGCTATTACAGCGGTAAGAATCCGATGCAATTGCCGCAAACTTTCCAAAGGTAATGATAATAACTTTTAATTTGTATGAAATGTTGATTTTATTTGTGCGAATTTTTCAGCAGAACGATGCGTTTCAAGATGAGTTTGTTCTCGGATGTGCAAACGCCTGAGGTGAAGACGACGATGGAGAGGCACCCGAGGAACGAGATTTGGCGAAGCGAGAGCATCCTCATGGCTTTCGTCGACTTCTGGCTGACGAACGATCAAGTTTGTCTGCATTTCGATAATCTCAATATGAGTCTGTCGAATGTAAGTTCTTTGTGGATTAATATGTGGATTTGAGAAGCGTAACACTCTCTTGTTTGTTATCAGCATTTGGAGTTGCCTAGCGCCGATTACATAAGGATTATTAGGGCTGTGATAAAGCATATGCACGCGTTCGCTTCGACGATGAACTTCGACGCGACATCTCTGGGCGAACTGAAGAAAATCACTTTGCCGATGATCCAGGGACGGATTTACGTCTTCCTGAGGAATCTGCTCTATCGTTGGCCGCTGGACGAGTCTTTCAGGCTCGTGCTGGAACTGTGGCTCAGCTTTATACAGCCGTGGAGGTACACGCACGAAGCATACGAACATTAGTAAGTTTTTTTTACAATTTCTCCAAAAGTACTGAAGCGTTTTTAATGTTTTTTCGTTTTCAGTATTGAAGTTGCTGCGAATACGAATCAGAGTGCGCACAGGAAAGACGTGAAATACGCGGACGAGTCTTACATGCAGTTCATCGCGGAAAACCTTCTCGTTTACGTGGTCATCTTCCAGCAGCTGCTACCGAGGTTCGCGCGCGTCGATCTTTCGAGCCCGAAGAACGCGCAAATGCTCTTCAGATTAACAAAGGTTCGCAATCGATACTTTTTAGTATTGATTTAATCATAATTAAATTGATTTTTTAGGTGTTTTCTCAACCGAATCTTGTGCCAATTCTCAGACGACTCGAGAGCGTCGTGGAAAACAAAAACTACTCGCCGACGCACGTCCTCCACAACAATCCGCTGGGTCTGATGCCGCCCCTGTCTCCGACGACCCGATGGTCCACGAACACCTCCGGACACATATACGACTCGACGCACATCGAATCGCCGAAGAAACCGTGCAGTAACTTCATGTCGATGGGTTCGGATCCTTTGGCGAGCAAGTACATGTCCGTCGTCAGGCAGAAACTCTACGAACTGGAAGGACCCAACTTTTGTTACAAACCATTGTTCACAGTCCAAGCAGCGCCTGAGGTAAACCAATTATTATCGAAGTTTAACATGTGTAAAGTTTTGCTTTCTTGCAGGTGTACGAGTTGCTGCAGATAATCAAAGTGTCCGAGATGAAATCGTCGGAGCTGTTCGAGAAGCAGAAGCAGAGCGAGCAGCGACGTGGATTCTTCTCGTTCTTCACGCAGCCGACGGACATCGACAAGATTTCCCTTCTGGATCGTAAGAAGGCGCCCGTCTTTCTCGCCGCCGCGTTCGAAGGTCTCATCAGCATCTTCGGCATAAGCGAGTTCATCGTTCCGCAACAATGTTTTCGTCCGTCGGAATCTCCGTGCTTCGCGCAGTGCAGCGACGATTCTGCTGCGGACATCTCTTCGGATCTGAACTCCACGAACACGGTGGAGCGAGCTCTGAAGCAGCAGAGCATCAGGGAGAGGATGAAATGTTTGAAGTTCGACGGAGATCCCGATCTGATGCCTATTCAGTCGCGCGAGATCGGATTCTTGGTGAGGATGTTCTATCAGGCTTCGTGCTTCATCAATCAGATGGTGAGAATAATAATAATAGGTGGTGCTTGTTTATAAAAGGCGGAGCTTGTTGGAGAACGGCTTCTAATTGGCTGATTTTTCGTTAAAAGGAGGAGCGTCGGATCAACCAGTTCCACGGAAGGCAGGATTTCGCCGGAAGATTCGTGCGGTACTTCCTGCAGCCGCCGATGTACGTCTACAAGTACGAGAAACGGGACGGCAGGTCGCGCCGCGTCCGACATCTGTTGCCGGCGCGCGTCAGCCTGCGTCGCTTCGCCAATTACAACTTCTGGACTCTGTTCATCATAGCTACGCTGATCTTCCGGTACTTGGGTTTCGGCAGTTTCGCCTTCCTCTTCCTGTACGTCGTCTGGAACGTTCTGGTCGCGTCGTTCTCCGCGATCTTCCAAAGCGGACGGCCCGTCGTGCAGAGCGTCGATCTTAATAACAGCATGGACGACTGACGATCCACTCCAACTTGTCAAAATCGATCCACCTACGCGCTACTTGCCAAGTAACACACTATATATATATATATTTGTATCATATACGAATTGGCATGGTTACGCGCTTTGGTCCGGTTATTATTATTATCTATTTTTTTTTTCATGTAATGATTTATTTTTTTTTGTAAAAAGTAATTTCTAATAATACTAATAGTAGGCGTTATACAAGGTTTAACAAGAACTTTTGTACTTTGATACTTCCACGCGAATTGCAAGAATAAAATGTATTCGTTTCGTTTTTTAAATCTTGGAACTAAAGTTCCAGTAATGTAATGTAATTACAAACATCGATTCGTTGTTTCTATTATATAACAAATCCCCAACACTTTCAACAATTTTTAACAGACTTGTTACGTGCATAATCGCAAGTGCATATTTGGTTGCATACACACAATCTTCATGTTTTGTTATATTACGCAAGTTAATTGTATAATTCAATAGCCAATCAAATTTCGATTTTGTTAAAAACACGACTTGCTAGATTTTCGTTTTTTTCCTTAGTAACTCGAAAACTAAACAACTTCTTTGTTATTTTCTCAGTTAATGATTATTTTTTCGTAACCATAGTTACATTTCATTGTTGATTGCGATATCGCGATTTTCGCATTCGTTTTTGCGAGGATCGTGAAAAGAAAGAATTTTGCAGTTTTTTTTTTTTGATAATAAAATATATATTAAATACAACATTTAGATATAAAATAATAAACGTAGAGTAGAAGGGACAGATTAATACTAGAGTAATAATGTACAATAATCGTATTCTTATATAAATATATATATATAAAGATAGTTGAGATAGTGGACAGCAACAACGTAGACAAACAAGTAACAACAACAACAAAAAAAATAATGACAGTTGTCAATTGTTTAAGTAAATAAAGTGTTTGCATATCATAATAGTACGGTAGAAAAACAAAACAAAAACATAAAATAAGGAAACAAAAGAATGAACGAGACCGGAACTGCAGTTTAAAACGCTGCAGGTGCGGACGTTACGTTACGAAAACGAACATAAAAAATTGTTGCTTAAAGAAGAAATTAGTTTAAAAAAAAAAATAGTTGCCGTACGAAAGGACGTTTCTTTTCACTCGCTTTATCTCTCTCTTCTGTACATGAAGAGAAAGATATGTATATATAATAAAAAAACAAGAGAGAAATTTCGAAAAGGCACGATCGTTATAGTAACTAGAATCACAAATCCTCAACACTTGAAGATATTTTAAACAGACTTGTTACGTGCATAATCGCAAGTGTACATTTGGTTGCATACAATCAATATTCATGTTTTGTTGTATTACGCAATAACAACGCAAGATATTTGTATAATTCGATAAGAATCTTAAACTGAAAACCGTCACCATTCAAATTTCGATTTTGTCAAAAACACGACTTGCTAGATTTTCGTTTTTTTTCCTTAGTAACTCGAAAACAAAACAACTTCTTTGTTATTTTCTCAGTTAATAATTATTTTTTCGTTACCATAGTTACATTTCATTGTTGATTAATCGAGTTGTTACGTAATCGCGATTTTCGCATTCGTTTTTGCGAGGATCGTGAAATGAAAGAATTTTGCAGTTTTTTTTTTTTGATAATAAAATATATATTAAATACAACATTTAGATATAAAATAATAAACGTAGAGTAGAAGGGACAGATTAATACTAGAGTAATAATGTACAATAATCGTATTCTTATATAAATATATATATAAAGATAGTTGAGATAGTGGACAGCAACAACGTAGACAAACAAGTAACAACAACAACAACAAAAAAAATAATGACAGTTGCTATGGTAGTCAATTGTTTAAGTAAATAAAGTGTTTGCATATCATAATAGTACGGTAGAAAAAAAAACAAAACAAAAACATAAAATAAGGAAACAAAAGAATGAACGAGACCGGAACTGCAGTTTAAAACGCTGCAGGTGCGGACGTTACGTTACGAAAACAAACATAAAAAATTGTTGCTTAAAGAAGAAATTAGTTTAAAAAAAAAAAATAGTTGCCGTACGAAAGGACGTTTCTTTTCACTCGCTTTATCTCTCTCTTCTGTACATGAAAAGAAAGATATGTATATATAATAAAAAAACAAGAGAGAAATTTCGAAAAGGCACGATCGTTATAGTAACTAGAATCACAAGTAGAATACGCTCTATGTATGCTAAATATTAATATATATAAATAATTACATAATTGAAACGGTCGATAAAGCGTGTTTTTTGTGTGTGTGTGTGTTTGTGTTAAGCGATGAGTGTTTAATCCTCTTTCTCTTCATCATCAGCCGTTAAATATCATCATCTCAGTTCGTTTCGCTTGCTGCTTCTTTTTACAAAAATTTTACTTCTTGATCAGAGATCTCACTTTGTTCACGCATCTGTCCATGAAGTTACGTTTCCTTTTGGTGTCGCTTCCGCTCGACGCGCTCAACATCGAAACCTTGTCGACGTTGCTCTCCAAACTTGCCGACTTCTTCGCTTGCTCTTCACCATCTATGATAACCTCATCATCATCATCATGATCGAAGCAATCTTCTTCAACTCGTTTCTTCTTCTTCGTCGTCATCATCATCATAGGTTTCGTCTTATCCTCGAGGTCATCACAGCTCTTTGTTACATTCTCGGACGGAATAAAGTCTTCGCGCTCTGCTGCCGTCTGGTCGTCTAGGAGACCGTCCAAACTGCGCGATCTGTTCGGCGTTTGCTGCGGTTGCTGCTGCTGCTGCTGCTGATTCGGATGATGGAGATGCTTTGGATTATGATGATTGATCGTGCTCGGGTCCTGCTGGTTGTTTATACTGTTATTAGAGCACCGACGACCCGGGTACTGAGGCGGAAGACCCTTCAGGTGCTTCGTGTTTGGCGTCATCAGCCAATTCCTCGAAGGACTCGATGATTTATATAATCTGCAATACACATTAAATTTACAAATCTCTTAAGAAACGCATTGTTAAATATTAATTTACATGAATTAAAATTTCTAAACTTTGACAGCTTATAACAAAGTAACAGTAGATATCACAAAACTACAAATGGACTCATTGGAAAGGCTATAGTTTTACCTTTAATTTGAGTATTCAATGATTGAATTGTCGTGCATGATTATTGAGTAATCAATTGAAACGCAAAGACGTAATACTTTTCTTCTTTAAAAAAAAACAATCTCTTATTTCTCATCAAACTTTGACAACTTGTAACTTGTAGTAGGCTTATTGGAAAGATCACAGTTTCATCTTTAATTTGCTGATTAAATGGTCCAAATCGCTCTTGCGGTTGCCGAGTAATTAAATGAAATGTGGAGAAGAATCATTATTTTGTTCGTAACCATAGTTACATCAAATTATATGACTGATTCTTTTCAACATTATTGACTTTACGTTACTATGACAATCACTTCGTTGTTTTCATTTAGCTTTAGTTGCGAACATTCCAAATTCTTAATATTGTTAATTGATTAATTAAGCGCTTTTTCCATTGTTTTTTTTTTTGTAGATTTATATAGAATGATATGAAGAGATGTTGAATGAAGTTAGTAATTGTGTTATTATGTACCTTCGCACACTAGAAACTCGTGAGGCCTACCTAGGTAGGGGGGTAACCGAGGCGGGGGGACCATCTAGTCAATCCCGAAGACCAGAATTCCCGTTCACGTCTTTGTCGCTCCCCTTGCCGCTCCCGGAGTCGTTGCTATGCATCCGTTGGTAACTAGGAGGTTGCCTTGGTAACGCAGCGGAAGGCGTGCCCGGAGCGCCCGTCCTCGTCAGGACACCGTCATTCCTGTTTTCACCTCTCATGAACCTAAAAAAAAAACAAGTGTCTTTTATGTTTCAATGTTGGCAATTATTCTGTTCACTTAAATTTCGAAGTTGGCTCTATGTTATAATGATTGATAATGTGTGTATTCGGATGCATACCTTTCGACTTTGTCCACGCACGCGTCCTGATAATCGTGAATCCATTTGACGGCGTTGAAGTGGCACACCTGTCTCATATCTTCCGGCAGTTCCTCGACGTCGGGAAACGCGAAATTGTCGACGATCGGAATGATGTTACATTGAGCGCTCAAAGCGGCGACGATCTCGCGATGCACCCAATCCTTCTTCTCCGCATCCCCGATGCACCGTTCCAGAGCGTTCGGCGTCAGCACCAACAAGAAGTGCTTGGCTTTCTGTATACTCTGCAGCAGATTGTTATCGAATTTCCCCGCCTCCAATCGCTCAACATCGATGAAAACGCTGAAACCCCTCAACTGAAGATGCACCTTCAGCAAACTAGCCAACTGCGATCCGTTGGATCTGCGATAACTGACGAAGACGTCCAGAGACTTATCGATGTTGTCGTCCTTCATATTCGACAGGATCGTCTTATCGAACAGTCGAATTCCCTCCATGATCCGCGCCCGATGTATCGAGTTCTTGATGTGACACTCCTGACTCAGTTGATCTTCGGAGAGACCGCGCAAACTGTCTTTGGTTTCGACGCCCGCGTTCAGCATGCTGTACGTGTAGATGCTGAACTCGGGTCCCAGACTCTGCAGGAAATGATTGATGTTCGCCGCATCGCGCGAACTGTAATCGGCCATCCGCTTCAGCTTCTCCAATTCGCGGAAGAATCTCTTGCGTTTGATACCGTTCGATAAACCGATGTCATCTTTCAGGTTTTCTTCAGTGAGTTTGAAGAGCAAATCACCGTCGACGCGGCTATCGTTAAAACTTGAAGCGTGCTCGTTGAATCCGATCTGTTTGATCCATTCAACTACATCTTCCACAGACCACAAAGGTACTTGTTGACTCAACTTGTGCGGGACTTCTTCGCCGATCAAACGAAGCGCTTTCGCTGCGTATTTCGATGCCACAGCGTTCGGACAACTCGCGACAGTCTTCAACGATTCCACAGCTCCGATCTCGTTGAAGATCTTCGTGTTGCCTTGCTGCTCCTTGATTCCCGCTTCCATGCAGAAATGGAAAGCAGCCAGATTCCTCGCCTCTTCGCGTTTCGACTTGAGCACCGGCACCAGATGCCTCAACCAGGTCTCGCTTTGACCGTGAGCGTGCGCCAAGTTGCTCTTGGCAAAATCCGAAGGATTGTGCGAAGTCACGAACGGTTCGACCAGCTCCAAAGTACCGGATTGAAGAACGTCCGATTCAATCTCGGCGTTCGCCACCAAAACGGTTATAGCTAAACACGCGTAATACTTGATGTTATCGTCGTTGTGGAACGCTAAAGGGAACAGCCACATCGGCACTTTATTCTTGATCATAGCCTCCTGGTTTTCAGTTCCACCGTACAAACTCAGATTCGCCAGAGCCCCAGCGCAATGCCTCAAAGTCTCCACGTCGCTCTTCCTGCATTCGAAGAGGAGAGCGTCCAATCCTCCGTATCTGACTACGTCGCTGCAAGTCTCCTCGCTGTGCTTGAAGAGATGCTCGAAGATTCCGGTGCCGACGCGCGAATGCTCCACGGTGTTGTTGTTCGTGCAGAAGCACGCCACCTTCACCACCTTGTCCAGACCGTTCTTCACCACGTACGCTCTGTTCTCCGATGTCAGACATTGCTCCAGCACTCTGGCAGTCGAAAACCTCAGATCGCGATCGTCCTTGTTGCAGTTGTCCATCAGCAGATCCAAGCCACCGCCGTCTCTGAGGGCGTCGCAGAGGGCGTTGCCCAGATCGTGACCGTGCGTCGGCACCGCCCACGCCTTGTGCATGATGTCGTTGATCTTGTTCAGGTACAGCGACGATTTCGCGCCGAGATCCTTCTGCCTCAAGCAGCTGATCAACTTCGCCAAGCATTTCTCGTACTTTGTAATCGTTTTATCCACCTCGTCGCGACTGGACGTCGTCGTCAGGCATTCGAGATCGGTCAGAGGCATGTTCACCAGTTCGTCGTTACCGTTCATCAACTGAAACTGAAACGAACAAACATGTAATCACCATTCACATATCTTCAGTTAATAACGCTA